CCATATGTCTAGTAAGAACTGATCTCATATTAGAAAGTACCCTGGCACAGAAACCAAATTCCATAGAATAAAGCAAATCTATATTAATGTTGAATAAATCTCCTGGCAAAACACTTTATTTAGCGCTACCAGATTTGTCAATAAGACAGAAAAATACAAAGTGTTCCAACTATTTCTTTATAGAAATAATTAGCTTAAAAATCCAAGGCTTAATCTATTAAAACCATTCCTTTTGAATCACATAGACCACTCACATACAGAGGGAATGTTTTAATGTGAATGAGACACCAGCCTGGAAGCCTGGCTCCTTAGCAGTAATGCCAAACAAGGGAAACACAAATCACAGGAAAAAGCCCAGTCACCTTTAAAAATTTTAAGCCTTCAGCTAAATATCAGAACTTTACCATGACCCCTGAATCACAGCTGGCCAACAAGAAGCTAACTGTAGTCCTTAAAACTCACTATAATCTGGGCAAGCATGACAGTTATATTATAATAGGCACAGTTTAATGAAAGTGTTTATATCAGGTGTTGGAAGTTTCTAGGAGACCAGCTCCTGAGCTATAGCAAAACAAAAATTAAGTATCAAGTATTATGAAGTGGCCTTTTTGGGTTTTCCTTTAAAGAATTTTAAAGTGGATCAGTTCAGCATCTGCCTTCAGCTCAGGTCAAGATCTCGGGATCCTGGGATCGAGCCCCACATTGGGCTCCCCACTCAGTAGGGAGTCTGCTTGTCTCTCTCCTTCTACCCATCTCCCTCAGCCCCCCGCTCCTGCTCTCACTCTCTCTTCTGTCAAATAAGTAAAATCTTTTTTTTTTTAAATAAAGAAACTTAAAGTGGCAGTTGAAAAAAACCCTTGCACAAGTTTTGAGATCAGACACAAAATTAAGAATTAAAGACCAGTCTATTCAATTCGTCCTCAAATGCCATTTCTCTGAATTCCATGGATCTGCAATGGGGTGAGAATGGGAGTGGGCTATGAGGCAGAGCTTGGTAAGACCATCAGCAGCTGGGCAAGAGAATCTTTAAAAGGACTCTCAAGGAAAAAAGATTTCAAGAACATTCTTCCTAATTTACATCAAATCTTATAATGTTGCTTTCAAATTTTTTTTTCTACATTTACTCCACCTTCATTGCTTTCCTTTTTGATTAGAACTGCTCCATTACTTCTATAGAATATCATTTATGATTTTAAAAAACTTTAGTACACAATGAAAAATAGAAATTTTCTTAATGATAAAATTGTAGTATCCACAGTGAAAGCAACATCATACCACGCAATCCAAAAAAAAACCCAGCTCATTTTCAAGGAAGGACAATTTGGAGACCAAAATTGTAAAAGAAAAACTGCTAACATCCATATACAAGTTTTAAAACAATTTTCTTTCCAATTAAAAAAAAATATAGGTTGTTTACAGAAAGTTACCAAAGTAGGCAGCATTACAATAGCCAATTAAGAAAATAGCCCAAGTGGGGCGCCTGGGTGGCTCAGTTGGTTAAGCAGCTGCCTTCGGCTCAGGTCATGATCCCAGCGTCCTGGGATCGAGTCCCGCATCGGGCTCCTTGCTCGGCGGGGAGCCTGCTTCTCCCTCTGCCTCTGCCTGCCATTCTGTCTGCCTGTGCTCGCTCTTTCTCTCTCTCTCTCTGACAAATAAATAAAATCTTTAAAAAAAAAAAAAAAGAAAAAAAAAAAAGAAAATAGCCCAAGTGTCCACTGACTGATGAATGGATAAAGAAAATGTGGTGTGCATACACACACACACACACACACACACACACACACACACGGGAATATTAGTCCTAAAAGGAATGAAATCTTACCATTTGCAACAACATGGATGAGACAGACAAGTATTATGCTGAGTGAAATAAGTCAGTCAGAAAAAAATAAACACCATATGATTTCACTCACATGTGGAATTTGAAAAACAAAACAAACAAGCAAAGGGGGAAAAAAAAGAAAAGAGGCAAACCAAGAAACAGACTCTTAATTACAGAGAACAAACTGATGGTTACCAGAGGAGAGGCGGGTGGTGGGGGCAGTTAAATATGGGATGGGGATTAAGGAGGGCACTTGTTACGATGACCGCTGGGTGTTGTATGGAAGTGTTATATCACTATATTATAGACCTGAAACTAATATTACACTGTGTGTTAACTAATTGAAATTTAAATAAAAACTTAGAAAAACAAATAAATGAGGGGCTGCCTTCAGCTCAGGTCATGATCCCAGGGTCCTGGGATCGAGCCCTGAGTTGGGCTCTCTGCTCGGCTGCAAGCTTGCTTCTCCTTCTCCCACTCCCCCTGCTTGTGTTCCCTCTCTCGCTGTGTAGAAATATATCTCCCTTTTAGAAATATAAATAAATAAATAAATGGATGGATGGATGGATGAGTGAATGAATAAATAAATGAATGGAAAGAAGGAAGGAACCAAGGTAAAGCAATTTGTTGTTTAGCATCCAGGTCACTGGCACAGAAACAGGTAACATTTCTAAGGGACATGTCCCTACTACAGAGCAGAAACAGGGGGGATAAAACACCAAAAACACCTCGTATCACTAAATGCAATGAAATAAATAATTGTGTGTGAACCTTAGCTTCCTATACTTACTTATTCATTTATTTTTTCAGGATCCCCTTCTAAATGAACTGTTTAAAGTTCCCCTAGCTCACCTACAATTTTTTAATACTTTATTACAAAGTACAGTTTCCGTTTGAATTATTTTGTTAAGGATAAAGCAACTTAACTATTACACTATTGATAAACACAACAACACTAAAAGTCAGTTCTGCTTACTCCTAATCCAGGAATAAATGAAAACAAAGTTTAAATCAGCTCACAGACCTCAGTTTTTGCCACCTCCTTCCCTCTCTGTTTCTGCTATTTATACTGCTGAGATCAGTCCACTTTCATACTGGGAAATGTCTGCTGTTCCTGCTCGGACTTGCTTCATCAATCACTGAATTCTCACTTTCTCGTACAACAGGACTCCATCACAGGATATAATTAATCCCACTAAGCAAGCAAACCTCTTAAACTTTAGGCCCAGCTATGAGACCTTGCACAAATTCATTTCTATAAAAATGATAATAATATTTAATCCAGAAGACTGAGGTGAGGTTCATATGAGATTAATGTACGTGAAAGAGCTCTGAATGTTCGAAGTGTCACACAAAGGTGAGGGTCTCTGTTTCTTCATCTGTCATATGGGAGGATTCCCTTAGCTGATCTCTAAAGACTTTCCTTCCATCTCTAAAAATTCTTTGATATTTACATTTGAAGCACATGAAACTCTTCTTACTGAGACGGTAACTTTACATAGCTGTAAAGAGAGGTAGGGAACAATCAGCTCAACCTTCTCATCTCACAGAAGGAGTCCAAAGGCAGGCTAAGTAGCCTGCAGACCAGAGAAGTCAGTAGGAAAGCTGGGGCAGGCCGGACTGAGACCTGAATCTGTGCAAAATCCCTTCAGGCATGTGATACTGTTCACTATTCTGGGAGCTTGAAAATCCCTCTTTACCACGGCTTAAGCAATTACCTTTTCAAACCGGTTACAATGAAAAGTTCATTAAAAAGACGTAAACTTTAAAAATAGTAAAATAAAATAATAACCGTAATAAAATAAAAAGATGTAAATATTAGTTTGGTGAAAATGACTTAACCGCTAATAGTCCAACTGAAAATGTTTACAGATGATGCTAACAGCGAAGGGGTCAAATCAAACTGTCCAGCTGTTCATTTGGCTTGTGTGATATTTAAGCCAACGGGCATGAAATAAACGCTATCTAACCTTTCCTAATTAAAGACTTTTAATTCTGATTTTGTTACTTACTAGCTGTGTGATCTTGAGCAATTTATTTATTTCTCTGAGTCTCAGTCCCCTCATCTTTATTTTTTTCAAGTTTTTTTTTTAAGATTTTATTTATTTATTTGACAGAGAGAGAGCGAGCTCACAAGTAGGCAGAGCAGCAGGCGGGGGTGGGGGAGCAGGCTCCCCGCCAAGCAGAGAGCCTGAAGCAGGGCTTAATCCCAGAACCCTGGGATCATGACCTGAGCTAAAGGCAGAGGCCCAACCCACTGAGCCACCCAGGTGAACCAAGTTTTTTTTGTTTTGTTTTGTTTTTGTTTTGTTTTTAAGTAATGTCTACCCAACATGGAGCTCGAACTCAAGATCCCAATATCAAGAGCCAATTGAGCCAGCCAGGTGCCCCTCCTCATTTTTAAAACAAGGATAATACCAAGGAGTTCACCTAGTTATTGTGAATTAAATGAGCTAATTCATGTGAAGGCCCTAGAGCAGTGTTTGGCACATACACTTCTCCAATATCCTAAACTTCAAGGGAATTTTCTCTCCTTTTTCTTCATCAGAAAGATTCCTGGGGGCACCTGGGTGGCTCAGTCATTAAGCATCTGCCTTTAGCTCAGGTCAGGACCCTGGGTTCCTGGGATCCAGCCCCACACTGGGCTCCCTGCTGGGTGGAAAGCCTGCTTCTCCCTCTCTCACTTCCTCCCCCTGCCTGTGTTCCCTCTTCTCACTGTGTTTCTCTCTGTCAAATAAATTAATAAAATCTTTAAAAAGACAAAAAAGATTCCTGAAATTAAATTTATGAGGCCTTTCTTGGTTCTCAAATCAGTTATTGGCAACTGTACAATAACTAAACCTAAATAAAATGAGGGGCCTTGTGACCTAATAGAAGGCAAATGAGGTTTGGAATGAGAGAGTTTGAAGAGCTTTTGACCTTGAGCAATTTACCAAACTTCTCAAAGCTTCTTATCTGAAAATGAGACTATTATCTAGTTTTTTATCATTCCGTCTTTCCTATTCACAGAGACATTGCAAATGCTTTGAAAAGGGCATCTCTTATTCATCTTTCTCTCTTCCATAGTAAGGTAAGACTCAAAATTATAAGATTTGATGCTGGAATAAGGCAAGAGGTTGAAAAAAGGGATTCAAGACTAGAATAAATGTGTGACATTATGAAAAAAGGAAGTACCAACCCAGTTTAACTGGCTCCAACTGTAAGCATTATGTCATTGCTTCCTCTTCTTTCCTTACAAATGGCCCTCAAATATTCTTTTCCTACAAGAAGATGCAAAGTATGAAATAAATATTAGTGAAGGTTATTTGAATCATACTTTAAAACTGAGCATTCTTTAATTTACCATTAGGCAGAGACAAACTGTTACTCGTGCTACTTAGAGGACTTGTTTTAGAGGACTTGTTTTCAAGTCCTCCAAGAGGTATTTTACTTTAGGAAACACTATGGGTTTAAGTAACCAAAAAAGTAAGCTTACCTCAGAAAATCACTTCTAATGAATAACAATACCTTGTTAAAAATAACTACTCAGGACAGGATTGCATGAAGCACTGTAGTTCACTATATTATGCAAAAATATTTCTAAAACTAAGTTCTTAATCTTCTGAGTGAAGGGAGAGGGGTGAGACATAAAACTATGAGAATCTAATGAAAACTGTGAATTGCATTTCCCCAAAATGCATATACATGAATCATATTTTGCATATAATTTTAATTGAGACATTAAACCCAGTCATCTAGTCTGTGAATCTCTAAAACCTGGTAGTAGACTCTGAGGAATAGTTTTTGAGTTATTCAAAATCGTGGATTTTAGGATTTTAGAACCATAAGCAATTTAGCACTCATCTAATGCAAACTGCTAACAGAAAAATGAAGTAGTAGTGGCCCAGAAAGTTAAAAAGAATTAAGTAAAGGCTTACTGTACTCAGGAACAAAGGTGTCCAACTACTATGCTAATCTACATAAGACCGACCATACAAAATTTAGGATAAATCAGAGCCTTTGGTTTAGAATAATTCTCACAGCGGAACCCAAACAGAAGACTGGCAAATGGTCTTTTGGTTCCAAACATCAGTGGTGGTTAAGATAATGAATTCTGGAGTTTTTCATAGGTGTGTGAAAAAGTTGATTAATTCACTTAATCTAACTTCGGGTTCTTCAAATACAAAAATGGAAATAATAAAACCCACTTATGAAGGATTATTTTAGAGATAAAATCAGATAACATGTGTAAAGTATTTACCCAGTGCTTAGTGCACAGTAGGTGTTCATGAAATGATATGAATTAAAAATATTTCTAGGGGCGCCTGGGTGGCTCAGTGGGTTAAAGCCTCTGCCTTCCCCTCAGGTCATGTTATGATCCCAGGGTCCTGGGATCAAGTCCCACCAAGCCCCAAATCAGGCTCTCTGCTCAGTGGGAAACCTGCTTCCCTCCTCCCCCGCCTGCAGCTCTGCCTACTTGTGATCTCTGTCAAGTAAAAACAAAATAAAACAAGAAAAAAAACAAAAAAAAATTTTCTTATCTGCAAGAAAATGGATGGATCTAGAGCATAATCCTAAGCAAAATGACAAATACCATGTGATTTCACTCATATGTGGAATTTAAGAAACAAAACAAATGAGCAAAGAGAAAAAGAGACAATCCAAAAAACAGACTGTTAACTAGACAGAGAACAAACTGGTGGTTACCAGAGGGGAGGTGAGGGAGGGAGATGGGTGAAATAGGTAAGGGGAATTAAGAGTACAGTTATCATGATAAGCACTGAGTAATGAAGAGAACTAAATCACTATAATGTATACCTGAAATGAACATAACACTGTATGTTAACTATATTGGAATTAAAATTTCTTAAAATTAATACTTAAAAATTTTTCTTATCAAGTCATGGAATTGGATAAAATATGAAACAAGTCTCTAAGTAAATGAGATGCTTTGTAGTTGAACAAAATAAGTGGCAAACATTTACTGAATATCTTTTACATAATATACTATTTAAGGTATTGATTGAGGATGTAGAAAAGATAAAATTGTCCTTTCAAGAGGAATTAGGTAAAGACAGAGTTTTCTCTTCATTTCTGTCTTGGGTTTCTCTTTTTCCTTTTCCTCTTAGGTTTCAGCTTTTTTGCATACATACTCTGGGTTCCCACCCGGACTAGGAGGATCCCTCACATGATAACCCCTAATTCTGACCTTTCACCTGAGCCTCAGACTCCAACATCCTGTTGTTTTTATATATTCCCACCTGAATATACCATAGGTAAAAACTCAACATGTTCAAAAGTGAGCTTTTCATCTCTTCCTAAAATCCATCCGCTCTTCAATCCCCTGCTCTGGTTAACAATGCAGCAGCCACTTAGACATGCCAAAAGTCTAGCAGTAATCACAGTTCACCAATCATCTTAAAACCTCATTGATTTCTACTCTAAATGCTTTCCAAGTCTACTCTCTCAATTCCATCCCTATCAATAGTACTCAAATCCAGGTCATTATCTCTCAATATGGCCAATTCAGTAATCCAACTGGCCCACTCTTATCCTACCCCAGAATCATTTATAATGATCACTCTAAAATGAAAATCTTGTCACAGCATGCACCATCATATGTCAGACCTTTCCATGGCTATTCTCCATAGAATGAAGTCAAAGCTCACCCACAGAAAAAATGGACAGGACGACATTTAAAGTACTCAATGACCTGGCTCACGCCTATCTCCTCAGCTTCATTTCATATCTCCCCCTTTATCACACCACAGCCATACAGGATCCCATGTGTTCTCACGCTGTTCTCTTTGCCAATATATCCTTACCCTTTGCACGAATAGGAAATTCCTACTTGCTCTTCAAGGTTCAGGTCCAGTATCACTTCCTCTGGGAAGCCTGCCCAGAGTATACTTCCCTACCCCACCAAGCTCACACATCATTACAACAAGCACACAGGAGACATTTGTTACACTGAAGAAAAATAAAAATTAAGCGAAGTAATGACACAGCAGCAATTAATTCATAAAAACAAAGCCAGTGAGAAGAGAAACTAGTTGGATTGTAGTGTTTCTCTGGAGAAAATAAAATTTTGATCTGAAGATTTGAGGAGTATTTATTCACAGATTGGTGGAAGAGAGGAAACAAAAGCATTTGAGTGAAAGAGAGATGGACATGAACACATTTAGAGGAGAAATGTGTATAGTAAGGCTGGAGGGATAGTCAACAGCAAATAAAAACTCATAAATATTGCCATCCTTATAAAGAGGTTTAGGAACCACCACCAATAAATCACCAGACTTTTCAAATAATTTTCTCTGAAGCTATATGGTATACTTACCATTTACAGTTATTACTTTACACTTCCATTAGAGGGATATTAGTTTAGAAAGATATCTTCATCTTTTAGTTAATCCCTTACAATCTATAGGTTTAAGAAAGTATTCCTACTTAATTCACATATACTGAAGAACTTTACATAAAATCCTGAAATTATCATATATCTTTATGTTGCATGGCAGTTTGCTGAATTGGAATAAGTTAACATAGACTCTTTCAGGTAGGTCAAGGGCTAGTCAATCTCACTAAATATTAACTTTTATTATTAGAACATTAGATTATTCCAAGTCAGAAGAAGAAACTAAAAATACAGGAAGCTTAATATTCAAGTCAACAGGAATTAAGCTATAAATATTTTGTTCTCTGAATGCAGAATAATTAAAGAATATCAATCCTGAAATTTAAATACACTAGTCATAATGCTGACAAAGAAGAGATCTATGAGATAGTCCCATATGTAGAGTGAAGATTAAGGTCATCTACCAAGAATAAAAAGAGGAAAAAAATTTTGTCATCTCTGAATGACACTTAATGACAAAATCTACTGCTTGCAGTAAAGACAGAGAACATTCACTCTAATACATTAGTTAGAAGACCACACAATTAGTCAAAAGGAAATCAAGTTAGAAGCTTAAGCAGCACAAGTAAATCAGCCACCCCAAACTGAAGCATCTCTAAATGGAATTCTGTACCATTTTTATTTTATATATTTAACTATATAGCTGTATAAGATAATAACAACCCAGGGCATATCTTCTATATCAAAAAGAAAGGTGATTAGAAAACAGATATATGTTGACAAAGCACAGAAGCACTTTGGAGCATAAAAGTTATTTGCATGGAGTTGTATGTCTTCTTGTCCTTGACTCTGTAAATGCCAATTCCCTGCTTCCAGGTTTGCAGACAATAAAAAGTGAGATACAATGCTGAATGTTAATTTTCAACATAACACTGATGTTATGTCAGAAGATACGGATAATTCTCACTCTCACATAATACCTGTCATGTTAAAATATCCCTACTGATACGAACCAACGTTCGTGAATGAAAGGTGGAAAAATTCTTTTGAGCTGTTGTCTTCAAGCAAATTGACAGATGTGAACGCACAAACACTAGTGTTCGATTATGAAACCCCCTCACACATAAACACCATTGTAAAATAAATTTCTCCAGGAGAAGAGGGACTGAAAATGTTACAAGCTTGCTAAAGAGAGTAACACCAAGCTATAAAAGAAACTGGCAGCCCAAGAATATGATGTTGACAACCACGTTATGCTCAAATGTGCTATAGATGGTCATTTAGATGCTGTCAGCCAATGTCATCTGAATGTCTTCAAAATTCCATTTTATGAAAAACCTGCTGACTTAGGGAAGGAATACAGAATCATCTATCTGATCTAAAACAGCAAACTGTTTTTGTCTGATATATATTTATCTTTCAACAAGAAGAGAGAGTTATATATTTCTTGTGATGATAATCTTAACCATAAATTGGAGCCAAAGTCTGCACTGTACAAATGTAAGAATTGTTCATGAAAGAGTAGCAGATTTTATGTTCATACACAGTCAATTCTTACTATTGTGGTAGTTATGTTCTATAAAGTTTTCATAAACGCTGCATTAGTGAACACTGTACTTCTGTTTCTAGGAAATGGGAAATACAGGGTGAGCCTCTGATTATAACATTTTCATCAAATGATCAATACATAAATTTTATTTTATGTGTATTTCACTTAAAAACATGTTATTTAATAAATATTGTTCACTCATTAAAATCTAACTCAATAGTGTTATTCATGACTGAACAAAGTTTATCTAACACACATAATGCTGCCATAAGGCATATCAGATCTATGCTGTATTTAGGAACAGCTCTTCTGCACTTTGGAGAACATGTTAAACAGCCCAAAAAGGCACAAAAATATGAAAAATGTGGCACTAAGGA